ATGCAGAGTTTTCTTATCGACTATTCTTAACTGTACTGTTTGCTTAAAGACATACAGGTCGGACCATCAGCAGTGGGTTTTAACTTCATGATGGTTTGGATTTTATGATCCTAAGCTCTGCAAAAAGATGCTATCCATCTAATATTTTGTGCGTTTGTGTGTCCCATCAGGTTCGTCTGTTCTCCAGCCTGACCCGAAGTTGTTCGACCACTGAAAGCGTCCCCCTGTCTGCATATCGTCACTAAACTGTCCATGCCTTACACCCATGTAGAAATATGTAGAAAGGAATATATCACACCTGTTGAATTATTTGATGACATGTGATTTTTTTTTTTTTATGAGTACATAAATTATTTTAAAATGTTTTCTATTCTCTGTACTTCAGTATTTTGAAGGTCACTCTTGGATTGCAAGAACAAATGTTTCATTATTTTAAATGGGTCTGCTTGTTATTTTTCTACTAATGTTTTATACCCTTTTGTGCTACTGTATGTAAATAGGACCGATGTTCATTGCACATGTGTCCAAATTTGCACTGGTTTTTATACTTGAAATCCAACTTTGAAAATCAACTTAGCTAGTGAGTGCTTTATTGCATAAAGGTGAACCTATTGTGTTTTTTGTATTATCTATGTTTGTACCATAAAGTTGATAAATATTTTAAATCTGTGCTTACAAACTAAACTGGGCTGGCTATTTATTTATTCAACCTTTAATATGGGATAGACTTGTTGAACATTTTCTTTTAATATCAATATACTATATGCTGTTGACAGTCATAAAAAAAGAGGAACAGTTACTGTAGAGCAGAATAAGTTGGTACATGCTCATTTAAAGTAATTACAGGCAGGTAGAAGATGATATTATGTTATCTTAACATTAAACTTTTACAGTCCAGATTTAAACATTTTAATTTCTCTGCATTTTTGCCTTTCTTTACAAGTTGTCTAAGTGACTCCTTATTAGTCAGACTGTCTTATTTCCCTTTTACTGAGACTTATGATTATTGATCCAGTTTACACCAAGAAAAGACAAGAAACGCATGATAAATGTAAATATACATACTCTGGTAAATCAGAATTACGAGGATTTAAGTCTAAAATGTGATCATTATAATCTAGAAGATTTGACTGATAATCTTCACTTGTAATGCACATTTTTATTCCTATAATGCATAACTTCATATTCTTACCCTTTTCCTGCAATGAGCTTCGCGTGAATTTCTATTAAGAGAGCTTTAATTGATTACACTTCGCTTTTTGCTAAGCAGCCAATCAACTCCTAGACAATAAAGCTCTTTCCCCACTATTTGTTAGTCTCTTTCAGATATAGTAACTGTGACAGTAATCATTATGTAACCAAATATTGATCTGAGCAGCTCGGCAGCAGCCAATGATCGTCTGATCTGCCGCTGACGCTTTTATACCTTCTTAACAGTGGGGTTCGTTCGTTTACGGTGTCGCCAGGTGCCGCCTGTGGCCATTCCCTCTCCACTCCAGCTCCACTTTAGAACCCCGCCCGCTCGTGTTTCCCAGGCAACCAGAACGTTCGCCCTCGGTGAAACATCAACACGGAATGACGCACATCCTCCGCGTTCCAACCACGGTGGTGCTAACGGTCAGCTAGCGGCAAGGCTGCGTGTCGTAGGTCGTCGTATGACACCGTATCCGCGGTGAAGACAGTCCTGGCCCGCGCAGAAGACCCCGGTACAATTTTCTCGTATTTGTCTGGGATGTATGGATGGATAGTTGACGGAATCTCGTCGCTGTTTGAGCCCGTTACGGGGCAAAACCCCACCGAGTGGCCCGGGAGAGGTGACGCTGGCGAGGAGGTACCCACGCGAACTGGCGTGAAAGACGCGGGAGCGCAGCGGCAGGAGAACCACTGCAGACCGGCTAAACGGAACTACCAGAGGTCGGTTGTTGTGGGAGTTAAAACGCCTTTTTTAATACTCTTTGGTTATCTGTCTTAGCTCAAGAAATCAGTCGATAATTTAACCCAGGAGCTTGGTCAGTTATCGGCTAAGTGACGCTAGTTAGCTGACCCTGTGCTGCTGATGATGTGACATTAATTTAGTTTA